TAGTGTATGTTTAGAAGGCCAGTCCTGGGGCACCATGTGCTGTAGCAGCTCATGCACACTCTTGCCTGACCTTTCAATTCATGTTCATGACAGTTCCTCTAGCTCAGGCTTGAGCTCCTCCTTTTCATCTCTGATTTGTGGCTTTGCATGTACATCTTCTGGGGCAGCAGCCAGAGTGATGTTTCTTCTGCTTCTACTTGATCTTTTCCTTTAGCTTCTCTACTCTTGGTCTAGGCCCTACAAGAGATACAGAAGCAACAACTAAACCTAAACTAATTGAGTAGCTTCTCTAAGCACATAAGGTCAAGTTCCTATAAGAAATCTCAGATACTATGTCATACCTAGTGGTTCTATTTTTGTGATTGAACTTTAACTGGTATGTCCACATTATTTGTAGTATATAAGTGCTTCTACTTTACTTCTGCCATTGTGAAATCACATCATTCCTTCTGAATTTGGAGAGTCCAGATCAATGTCAGCAGCCCCTAGTATCATTCCTGCCCTGCAGAGAATAGCCACCAAAGAGCTGTTCAAGTGTGGGTGTGAGCTCCCTTTCTAGTGTGTTTCTCAAAGCCCTGGTGAAGGGAGAGTTCCGAGACTCTCCTGGACAGCAGAGTTAGGAAAGTTAGGGCATAGTTCAGTGAGACTTACATAATAAATTTATGTGCATAACTCTGATATTTCTAAGACTTGGATACCTTTCTTTACATATAAAAAGTCAGTCCCAGCACTTCAACTATATTCATTGTAGGCTGTGTCTGGATCTAAGTTTTAGTTCACCATTCAGGCATACTATTACTGCTAAGTTTTAGTTCACCATTCAGGCATACTATTACTGCTACTCTAGGCCATTCAAGCAAGCACACTAACTCTGGAGTTTTTGCTACATGCACTTATACCAATGCATTTAGCTTGATTCAAACTATTATTCTATCCTGATCCAACATCCTTAGGATTCATTTCCATATACTTGATAGTTTTTAATTCAATATAAACTGGGAGAATCTTGCATTTATTTAGGTGTGTCTGAGACATTCTCATGGGTCATGTTTTGCATTTTACCCCATGCTTCCTACTAGGATTTTAATCCAGTTATAAATTTGGAAGCAATGAATGGTGGGAGTGGGTCCTACAGGGGATTGGCAGTCCCTTGTAGGTGACTATCTCAGGGGAATCCAATGCATGTTCTTTAGCTATCAAGAGACTAGTCTACTCAGACAAGGGGGCAAAGTCTGCTTCTACTGGAAAAGAAGGCTCCGCAAAATTTTCATGGTGTGATGTTTTCAGCTTCATTAGAATCTACCCATTAAAGGTCTTCATCCAAAGTTTCAAGATCTTGTTTTTTCCCAGTCAATGCCTCAATCCCCTATCATAAGAAGCCCTATGAGGTTATACATTCAATCTAAATTGTACTTTAGCCATGCACAGGGTTAGACTTTTGGTTTGATTTTCAAAAATCTTGTCCCTGTCGTTACAGGAGATAAGATTTCTTTTTAGGATAGGCATACAAGCTTTATGATTTTTTCTGTACTGGACCTTCTAGTGAGAATTTAAAGCCAAAAGATCATCAGTTTCTTTTTCCGAGTTCTCTTATAAACTTATAATTGACCAACTAACTTCAAAATGCCTTTTTTAAACTAGAAGTTTTTATGGCAGCAACCACTTGGTCACCCCCAAAATTGCCTTATATGGATGCTTGAAGACAGATGTACATAGACATATAAATAGTTTTGTCACTGAATGCCTTGGACCAGCAGTATGCTCTTTAACAGTAGTGACCAGGTCACTAATATTCTTAAGTCTAATAAGGACATAAAACCAATTCTAGATACCCATTCTAAAGATTCTGTTCCCTCTCCGTGTCCGTATATTATCATCATTTAGCTCCCACTTATAAGTGGGAACATGTTGTATATGGTTTTTTGTTCCAGTGTTAGTTTCTAAGGATGATGGCCTCCAGCTCCATCCATGTCCCTGAAAAGGACATGGCTTCATGCTTTTTTTAATGAATAGATAGTACTTCATGATGAATATGTACCATGTTTTCTTTATCCAATCTCTTATTAATGATTATTTAAGTTGACTCCATGTCTTTGCTGTTGTGAGTAGTGTTGCAGTGAACATATGAATGCATGGATCTTTATAATAGAATGATTTCTATTTCTTTGATTATATACCCAGTAGTGGGATTGCTGGTGGAGAGTGGGAGGAGGGAGGAGAAGAGCAGGAAAAATAACTCATGAGAACTAGGCTCAATACCTGGGTGATGAAATAATCTGTACAACAAACCCCATGAAACAAGTTTACCTATGTAAAAAACCTGAACATGTACGCTTGAAGTTAAAATAAAAGTTTAAAAAAATAAAAATAAAAGATTCTGTTGTCCTAGTATCACTTCTAGTACCAATAACTGTATCAGTCAAGGTTCATTCATGGAAGCAGGAGCGTGATGACTATTATAAAATGAGAAGGTTATTCAAGTAATTAGACATTAAACCATTGTGGAAGGAGATGGAAAGCTGGAACTTTCAAGGGAATATTGAAGCTGGCATATCTGATTGTTAGAGTAAGATCTTTAAGAGAGACTGGTAAAGAAGTTTGCAAATGTTATTTGTTCTTCCCGGCTACTGCCTCTGTGAATTTGCAACAAGGCATCTGATAGTGGGCCTGAGATTTCTTTTAGTGAGCAGATATATTCATTTTCTGTTTTAACATTACAATTTACCTTAAATTTAGCAGTTTAAAACAGCACGTATTATCTCACAGTTTCCATGGGTCAGGGGTCTGGGCACATGTTAGCCCACTCCTCTCCTTAGGGTAATAAAAGGCTATGATCAAGGTGTCAGCCAGGCCCAGGGGTGCCTTCTGAGGCTTGTGGTCTTTTCTAAGTTCAGGTGATTCTTGGCAGAATTGATTTCATTGTCCCTGTAGAACTAACGGAGACTGTGTCTTCGGGGTAAGAAGTGAACCTCTTGACACAGCATTTTAAAGGCTCCCATGATTATGTCAGACTCACTTCAGATAAGCTTCCTTTTGATTAATTCAAAGTCAACTGATTAGGAGCCTAAATGTGGGAGTGATATTCTATCATATTCACAGCTTCCACCCACACTCAAGAGGAGTACATTTTTCAAGAAGAGTATACCATGGAGCAAAAACTTTGAATCTGTCTTAGAATTATGCCTACCACTGTAGGAATTGCAGTTGAGACAAGAGCTGGATGTGTAGTAGAGGAGAACCTAGCCGAACTGAAATCTGCCAGCACGCTGTGTCTTTCTCTCATTACCTTTAACAACGATACACTTCAGAGCATAATAATGACTGTCGCTTTACTTCTTCCTCCCAGGAATCATTCAACTCTGTCTGTCCCTAACCCAGAACCTTACAGGGAAGGGTTCTGGGAAATGCAGTTCACAGTGTAACCAAGTTGTCAATAGAACGATGCAGAATTGTCAGGGTGGAGAAAATTTATTAAATTGTACTGAGCAGGAACACTTACTTCCCAAAGAATCTATTGTATGTAATAAAATATTGCTATTGTTTTTGTATGAGGAGGTTTCCTTCCTGTACTGTTCATAGAGCCAACCCACATGAATTGACTCTTAGTGAAATGAAACCAGCCATTCTCTATTTGTTTCAGGTATAAAGAATAATGTTCTCCACTCTCACTTTTAGGACACAGCTAGAGAGAAATGAATGTCTTTCTAAAATAGAACTTCAAAAAATCAGTTTTCTATTTTATGCTATTCAAATGAACATTTGATAGCAAAAGAAGATTTTATTTCTAATGTGGACTATCTGCCTTTGTCTTCATAGTGTTTTTTTTTTTTTTTAAAAAAAAAACAAAACCTCAGGTGACTTTATTTCTGTCATGCTTATCATGTATAAGCAAGAGAAAGTTGCATTTATGCTATTATTTTGGAGAAAAGGGGTTTTCAGTAAATGAAGCAAGCTATAAAATCAGCACAAATTAGAAAATGCCACAATATCCAATTATTTCCAAAGAAATTAGTCTGTATTTGGGAGCAAAATAAACTAGCACTTAGAGAGAAATGTGAGAAAATGGACAAAGAGTGGAAGAACAGGTGCAAGATTCACGATTTTGTCACAAATTTCCTGTGAGACTTCCTTTAAGTTGCTTCACCTCTCTGAACCTTACATTTCTCATCTGCATTGCCAGGGCTGAGGACAGTGACTGCTACATTGTCTGTGCTCAAGGTCTATTGAGTCATTCAGTCACCCAATCAACAGCTTAAGAAATCTACAGAAGGATTAGAGTTATCGTTCTACCAGCTTTGAAACTCTGTGATTCTGTTACTTCCTCACTCTCAGTTTATAGTTAGATTTTTTTATTGACCTTGGTGATTATTTCAGGACTTGAACAAAAGGCAGGACTTCTCAATGGAGCTGTCAGCTCAATGCTACTTCATCCCCTAGAATGCCTTACATCTCGACAGCACATGTAGACTATGTCAGTCCGCAGATACCAGATCAATTCTAAGCCTGTGGGGTAAATGACAATTTGAAGAAGCTCCCACTGCTTGCTTTGTCTACTCCTATCTGAGGTAGTTACACAAAGTATAATCATAAAACCATGTCATCTCTTTCCCTTATAGATTGATCTCACCTGGGTCCTCTTAGCTGATGATCATGCTATTCTCTTGTGATTCTACTCATTTTCCTTACAGCAGCTCTTCCAGATATTCTACTCCAATGTCTACACGTATCCACCACTCACATGCTATTAAAATGACCTGCCCTTTTCTCTTGTACACTAAAATAAAATCCTAAGTCCTTCACTGACTTGGCCAAAGGGACCACAGAAAAATCTTGAAACTGAGTTCCTGACCATGATGGGAAGGGAGATCAGAGATGCCTCATTATACCCCCTTCCTTTTGTGGTTTAGACACAACAACTGACCAGCACTAATGTTAAAATAGAGATCATAAGACTGAAACAACAGAATCTTTGCAGCAATAAAATACAAAATTATGACTGTTTTCGTTGGCCGCGCTGGGATGGCCGCCACCGGTGTAGCCGTAGCTAGTGCTTAGCGCGGATCTTTGCCGGGCGCTGAGGGCAGCGCAGTCTCCTTGTTTGTCCCGTTCGCCTGCGCGTGGTACTCAAGGGCACCAGCATTCCCGCGGTCGGCAGCATGGGTCGGGAGTCACGCCACTATCGAAAACGATCGGCATCACGGGGTCGCTCTGGAAGTCGGTCTAGAAGTCGCTCACCCTCAGACAAAAGAAGTAAACGTGGAGATGACAGGCGATCTAGAAGCAGAGATAGAGATAGGAGGAGAGAGAGGTCTCGTAGCAGGGATAAAAGAAGATCTCGGTCAAGGGACAGGAAGCGTCTGAGACGTTCCAGAAGCAGAGAGAGAGACAGAAGCCGAGAGCGAAGAAGATCTCGAAGTAGAGACAGGAGACGCTCAAGGAGTAGAAGCCGGGGCCGGCAATCCCGATCCTCCAGTCCTGGCAATAAAAGCAAGAAAATTGAGAATAGATCTAGGTCCAAAGAGAAAACTGATGGTGGGGAAAGCTCTAAAGAGAAGAAAAAAGACAAAGATGACAAGGAGGATGAAAAAGAAAAAGATGCTGGCAACTTTGACCAGAATAAGCTGGAAGAAGAAATGAGAAAGCGAAAAGAAAGAGTAGAAAAATGGCGAGAAGAGCAACGTAAAAAGGCTATGGAAAACATAGGAGAACTGAAAAAGGAAATCGAAGAGATGAAACAGGGAAAAAATGGAGTTTAGAGGACGATGATGATGATGAAGATGATCCTGCAGAAGCTGAAAAGGAAGGAAATGAAATGGAGGGTGAGGAGTTAGATCCATTAGATGCTTACATGGAAGAAGTGAAAGAGGAAGTAAAAAAATTTAACATGAGAAGTGTAAAAGGTGGTGGGGGAAATGAAAAGAAGTCTGGGCCAACGGTCACAAAAGTTGTCACTGTTGTGACAACCAAAAAAGCAGTTGTGGATTCTGATAAGAAGAAAGGTGAGCTGATGGAGAATGACCAGGATGCCATGGAGTATTCTTCAGAGGAGGAAGAAGTTGATCTTCAGACAGCCCTTACAGGGTATCAAACAAAACAGCGAAAGCTTCTAGAACCAGTTGATCATGGAAAAATTGAATATGAGCCATTTAGGAAAAACTTCTATGTCGAAGTTCCAGAACTAGCAAAAATGTCTCAAGAAGAGGTAAATGTGTTTCGATTGGAAATGGAGGGCATTACAGTTAAAGGAAAAGGTTGTCCCAAACCAATTAAATCCTGGGTCCAGTGTGGAATTTCCATGAAGATCTTAAATTCCCTCAAAAAGCATGGCTATGAAAAGCCCACGCCCATCCAAACCCAAGCTATTCCTGCTATAATGTCTGGACGAGATTTGATTGGCATTGCCAAAACAGGAAGTGGAAAGACCATTGCTTTTCTGTTGCCCATGTTTAGACACACCATGGATCAGAGGTCATTAGAAGAAGGAGAGGGGCCAATAGCTGTCATCATGACTCCAACTCGAGAACTGGCTTTACAGATTACTAAAGAGTGTAAGAAGTTTTCCAAGACTTTGGGACTTAGAGTGGTCTGTGTTTATGGAGGAACAGGAATCAGTGAGCAGATTGCTGAGCTGAAAAGAGGTGCTGAAATTATTGTTTGCACACCTGGTCGAATGATTGACATGTTAGCGGCTAACAGTGGTCGGGTCACAAATCTTCGAAGAGTGACATATGTTGTTTTAGATGAAGCAGACAGAATGTTTGATATGGGTTTTGAACCCCAGGTCATGCGCATCGTGGATAATGTTCGTCCTGATCGACAGACGGTTATGTTTTCAGCTACTTTCCCCAGAGCTATGGAGGCTTTGGCTCGCAGGATCCTGAGTAAACCTATTGAAGTACAAGTTGGAGGCAGGAGTGTGGTTTGCTCGGATGTGGAGCAACAAGTGATTGTGATTGAAGAAGAAAAGAAATTCTTGAAGTTACTTGAGCTTCTAGGCCATTATCAAGAGTCAGGATCTGTCATTATATTTGTGGATAAGCAGGAACATGCTGATGGTCTTCTAAAGGATTTAATGAGAGCATCTTATCCTTGCATGTCTCTTCATGGAGGCATTGATCAATATGACAGAGATAGCATCATAAATGACTTTAAGAACGGGACCTGCAAACTTCTTGTGGCTACGTCTGTTGCTGCCCGAGGTCTAGATGTGAAACATCTGATTCTTGTAGTAAATTATAGCTGCCCCAACCATTATGAGGATTATGTACACAGAGCAGGGCGGACTGGAAGAGCAGGCAACAAGGGTTATGCTTATACTTTTATCACAGAAGATCAAGCTCGCTATGCTGGTGACATAATTAAAGCTCTTGAATTGTCAGGGACCGCAGTACCTCCTGATTTAGAGAAACTGTGGAGTGATTTCAAAGATCAGCAGAAAGCTGAGGGGAAAATAATTAAAAAGAGTAGTGGGTTCTCTGGTAAGGGATTCAAGTTTGATGAAACAGAACAAGCTTTGGCTAATGAGAGGAAGAAGTTACAAAAAGCAGCTCTTGGTCTGCAAGATTCAGATGATGAGGATGCTGCAGTTGACATTGATGAGCAAATTGAAAGCATGTTTAATTCAAAGAAGAGAGTAAAGGATATGGCTGATCCTGGAACATCAAGTGTTCCTGCTCCAACTGCAGGAAATGCTGAGAAATTAGAAATTGCTAAGAGATTGGCTCTCAGAATCAATGCCCAGAAGAATTTGGGCATCGAGTCTCAGGTAGATGTGATGCAACAGGCCACCAATGCAATTCTTAGAGGTGGCACCATTCTGGCTCCCACTGTTTCTGCAAAAACCATTGCAGAACAACTTGCGGAAAAGATCAATGCCAAGCTCAATTATGTGCCTTTAGAGAAACAAGAAGAAGAGAGACAGGATGGTGGACAGAATGAATCTTTTAAGAGATACGAAGAAGAATTAGAGATCAATGACTTCCCACAGACTGCTAGGTGGAAAGTTACCTCCAAGGAAGCTCTACAGAGGATCAGTGAAGACTCTGAAGCCGCAATTACAATCAGAGGAACATACTTCCCTCCTGGTAAAGAACCCAAGGAAGGCGAGCGGAAGATTTACTTGGCTATTGAAAGTGCCAATGAACTGGCTGTGCAGAAAGCAAAGGCAGAAATCACCAGGCTCATAAAAGAAGAGCTGATCCGGCTGCAAAATTCATACCAACCAACAAATAAAGGAAGATACAAAGTCTTATAGACATCCGGAAAAAAGATTTTTACCTGTGCTGGTCTATGATAGATGTGGCAGTTGCAGTCTGCAGTTTACAATGTATTGTAAATTAAGATTTTTTAAAATTCTGTCTTGCTGATTTTTTTTAAATACAAGAAACTAGTATTTGGTAAAGAAATCTGTCCGTAAGTACCCCCACAATCAATCAAACTATATTTAAAGCTGGCCTGTTTTCAGAGTGTGATGTCCTTTAATGTAAACTTAAATATCAATATTTTAAATGTCCGGATAATATTCTAGAGGTTTAAAAAATGGAAATATTTGAACTTTCTATTGAAGACAATAAAGTACACAACTCGTTAAAAAAAAAAAAAATAAAATAAAATAAAATAAAATAAAATACAAAATTATGAACACGGGCTGGGCATGGTGGCTCACACCTGTAATCCCAGCACTTTGGGAGGCCGAGGTGGGTGGATCACCTGAGGTCAGGAGTTCGAGACCAGCCTGGTCAACATGGAGAAACCCCATCTCTACTAAAAATACAAAAGTTAGCTGGGTGTGGTGGAAGGCACCTGTAATCTCAGCTACTTGGCAAGCTGAGGCGGGAGAATTGCTTGAACACGGGTTGCAGTGAATGGAGATCGCACCATTGCACTCCAGCCTGGGTGACTGAGCAACACTCCATCTCAAAAAAAAAAAAAATTAAGGCTGCTGGGGGCGGAGCAAGATGGCCGAATAGGAACAGCTCCAGTCTCCAACTCCCAGTGCGAGCGACACAGAAGACCGGTGATTTCTGCATTTTCAACTGAGGTACTGGGTTCATCTCACTGGGGAGTGCCAGACGATCGGTGCTGGTCAGCTGCTGCAGCCCGACCAGCGAGAGCTGAAGCAGGGCGAGGCATTGCCTCACCTGGAAAGTGCAAGGGGGAAGGGAATCCCTTTTCCTAGCCAGAGGAACTGAGACACACAACACCTGGAAAATTGGGTAACTCCCACCCCAATACTGTGCTTTAAGCAACCCGGCACACCAGGAGATCATATCCCACACCTGGCCGGGAGGGTCCCACACCCACGGAGCCTCCCTCATTGCTAGCACAGCAGTCTGTGATCTACCGGCAAGGCAGCAGCGAGGCTGGGGGAGGGGCGCCCGCCATTGCTGAGGCTTAAGTAGGTAAACAAAGCTGCTGGGAAGCTCGAACTGGGTGGAGCTCACAGCAGCTCAAGGAAACCTCCCTGTCTCTGTAGACTCCACCTCTGGGGACAGGGCACAGTAAATAATAACAAACGCAGCAGCTCTGCAGACGCAAACGACTCTGTCTGACAGCTTTGAAGAGAGCAGTGGATCTCCCAACACGGAGGTTGAGATCTGAGAAGGGACAGACTCCCTGCTCAAGTGGGTCCCTGACCCCTGAGTAGCCTAACTGGGAGACATCCCCCACTAGGGGCAGTCTGACACCCCACACCTCACAGGGTGGAGTACACCCCTGAGAGGAAGCTTCCAAAGCAAGAATCAGACAGGTACACTCGCTGTTCAGAAATATTCTATCTTCTGCAGCCTCTGCTGCTGATACCCAGGCAAACAGGGTCTGGAGTGGACCTCAAGCAATCTCCTACAGCTACAACCTACAGCTGAGGATCCTGACTGTTAGAAGGAAAGCTATCAAACAGGAAGGACACCTACACCAAAACCCCATCAGTACATCACCATCATCAAAGACCAGAGGCAGATAAAACCACAAAGATGGGGAAAAAGCAGGGCAGAAAAGCTGGAAATTCAAAAAATAAGAGCGCATCTCCCCCGGCAAAGGAGCGCAGCTCATCGCCAGCAACGGATCAAAGCTGGACGGAGAATGACTTCGACAAGATGAGAGAAGAAGGCTTCAGTCCATCAAATTTCTCAGAGCTAAAGGAGGAATTACGTACCCAGCGCAAAGAAACTAAAAATCTTGAAAAAAAAGTGGAAGAATTGATGGCTAGAGTAATCAATGCAGAGAAGCTCACAAACGAAATGAAAGAGACGAAAACCATGGCACGAGAAATACGTGACAAATGCACAAGCTTCAGTAACCGACTCGATCAACTGGAAGAAAGAATGTCAGCGATTGAGGATCAAATGAATGAAATGAAGCGAGAAGAGAAACCAAAAGAAAAAAGAAGAAAGAGAAATGAACAAAGCCTGCAAGAAGTATGGGATTATGTAAAAAGACCAAATCTACGTCTGATTGGGGTGCCTGAACGTGAGGGGGAAAATGGAACCAAGTTGGAAAACACTCTTCAGGATATCATCCAGGAGAACTTCCCCAACCTAGTAGGGCAGGCCAACATTCAAATCCAGGAAATACAGAGAACGCCACAAAGATACTCCTCGAGAAGAGCAACTCCAAGACACATAATTGCCAGATTCACCAAAGTTGAAATGAAGGAAAAAATCTTAAGGGCAGCCAGAGAGAAAGGTCGGGTTACCCACAAAGGGAAGCCCATCAGACTAACAGCAGATCTCTCGGCAGAAACTCTTCAAGCCAGAAGAGAGTGGGGGCCAATATTCAACATTCTTAAAGAAAAGAATTTTAAACCCAGAATTTTATATCCAGCCAAACTAAGTTTCATAAGTGAAGGAGAAATAAAATCCTTTACAGATAAGCAAATGCTTAGAGATTTTGTCAACACTAGGCCTGCCTTACAGGAGACCCTGAAGGAAGCACTAAACATGGAAAGGAACAACCGGTACCAGCCATTGCAAAAACATGCCAAAATGTAAAGACCATCAAGGCTAGGAAGAAACTGCATCAACTAACGAGCAAAATAACCAGTTAATATCATAGTGGCAGGATCAAGTTCACACATAACAATCTTAACCTTAAATGTAAATGGACTAAATGCTCCAATTAAAAGACACAGACTGGCAAACTGGATAAAGAGTCAAGACCCATCAGTCTGCTGTATTCAGGAGACCCATCTCACATGCAGAGACATACATAGGCTCAAAATAAAGGGATGGAGGAAGATTTACCAAGCAAATGGAGAACACAAAAAAGCGGGGGTTGCAATACTAGTCTCTGATAAAACAGACTTTAAACCATCAAAGATCAAAAGAGACAAAGAAGGCCATTACATAATGGTAAAGGGATCAATTCAACAGGAAGAGCTAACTATCCTAAATATATATGCACCCAATACAGGAGCACCCAGATTCATAAAGCAAGTCCTTAGAGACTTACAAAGAGACTTAGACTCCCATACAATAATAATGGGAGACTTCAACACTCCACTGTCAACATTAGACAGATCAACGAGACAGAAAGTTAACAAGGATATCCAGGAATTGAACTCATCTCTGCAGCAAGCAGACCTAATAGACATCTATAGAACTCTCCACCCCAAATCAACAGAATATACATTCTTCTCAGCACCACATCGTACTTACTCCAAAATTGACCACGTAATTGGAAGTAAAGCACTCCTCAGCAAATGTACAAGAACAGAAATTATAACAAACTGTCTCTCAGACCACAGTACAATCAAATTAGAACTCAGTACTAAGAAACTCAATCAAAACCGCTCAACTACATGGAAACTGAACAACCTGCTCCTGAATGACTACTGGGTACATAACGAAATGAAGGCAGAAATAAAGATGTTCTTTGAAACCAATGAGAACAAAGATACAACATACCAGAATCTCTGGGACACATTTAAAGCAGTGTGTAGAGGGAAATTTATAGCACTAAATGCCCACAAGAGAAAGCAGGAAAGATCTAAAATTGACACTCTAACATCGCAATTAAAAGAACTAGAGAAGCAAGAGCAAACACATTCGAAAGCTAGCAGAAGGCAAGAAATAACTAAGATCAGAGCAGAACTCAAGGAGATAGAGACACAAAAAACCCTCCAAAAAATCAATGAATCGAGGAGTTGGTTTTTTGAAAAGATCAACAAAATTGACAGACCACTAGCAAGACTAATAAAGAAGAAAAGAGAAAAGAAATTAGGTAGCGCAATTACAAAAATGATAAAGGGGATATCACCACCGACCCACAGAAATACAAACTACCATCGAAATCACTACTCCCAACCCAGAAATACAAACTACCATCAGAGAATACTATAAACACCTCTACGCAAATAAACTGGAAAATCTAGAAGAAATGGATAATTTCCTGGACACTTACACTCTTCCAAGACTAAACCAGGAAGAAGTTGAATCCCTGAATAGACCAATAGCAGGCTCTGAAATTGAAGCAATAATTAATAGCCTACCAACCAAAAAAAGTCCAGGACCAGATGGATTCACAGCTGAATTCTACCAGAGGTACAAGGAGGAGCTGGTACCATTCCTTCTGAAACTCTTCCAATCAATAGAAAAAGAGGGAATCCTCCCTAACTCATTTTATGAGGCCAACATCATCCTGATACCAAAGCCTGGCAGAGACACAACAAAAAAAGAGAATTTTAGACCAATATCCCTGATGAACATCGATGCAAAAATCCTCAATAAAATACTGGCAAACCGGATTCAGCAGCACATCAAAAAGCTTATCCACCATGATCAAGTGGGCTTCATCCCTGGGATGCAAGGCTGGTTCAACATTCACAAATCAGTAAACATAATCCAGCATATAAACAGAACCAAAGACAAGAACCACATGATTATCTCAATAGATGCAGAAAAGGCTTTTGACAAAATTCAACAGCCCTTCATGCTAAAAACGCTCAATAAATTCGGTATTGATGGAACGTACCTCAAAATAATAAGAGCTATTTATGACAAACCCACAGCCAATATCATACTGAATGGGCAAAAACGGGAAAAATTCCCTTTGAAAACTGGCACAAGACAGGGATGCCCTCTCTCACCACTCCTATTCAACATAGTGTTGGAAGTTCTGGCTAGGGCAATCAGGCAAGAGAAAGAAATCAAGGGGATTCAGTTAGGAAAAGAAGAAGTCAAATTGTCCCTGTTTGCAGATGACATGATTGTATATTTAGAAAACCCCATTGTCTCAGCCCAAAATCTCCTTAAGCTGATCAGCAACTTCAGCAAAGTCTCAGGATACAAAATTAATGTGCAAAAATCACAAGCATTCTTATACACCAGTGACAGTCAAACAGAGAGCCAAATCAGGAATGAACTTCCATTCACAATTGCTTCAAAGAGAATAAAATACCTAGGAATCCAACTTACAAGGGATGTAAAGGACCTCTTCAAGGAGAACTACAAACCA